CACTGAATCAAAGGCTTTACAGAAGTCTATGTAGATTGCGTCTATTGCTTTGCCCTGATCAAAATTCGTAGTTTGCTTGTTTCTTCCTCAGGAAAAATCTTGGAAGAGTTCTTGGTGGAATCCAGTCTACTGTTTCTGATGGTAGCCTTTTGCATGCCTAGAGATTCTTCTTCCCTTCCTCAAAAGATAGATCAAACCACCACTGTGCAGACCTGGCTTAAAGCAACATTTTTACTTGAAGATGGGCTCCAGCATGAATTGGAAAGGTCGGAAGAGTAAAACTTTGATCCCAGTGATTGACCCAGGTTCGATCTTGCAACATTTTTACTCCCCCTCCCTTTCTTTTTCTGCTTTCCAACTACCTTAAAGTGCTTTGGGAAACATGGATGCTTGTGCCTATTTTGTCACCTTTTGGTTTTGCCTAAGATATTGGAATGTTCTACACAACCTGCTTCCTGCCATGCAATGATATTCTGCTTACCATTTGCTGGTGACATGGAGCAACCAATACAAGGCCAGCCCCTGCTTAGGCAGGCTGAAATTGATCTAAGTGGTTCTGACAAGATAGAAGCATTTTCCACCTTATGCCAGCAACCGACCTCCCATTCACAGACAACTCACAGGAAAGAGGAATGGTCTTCAGAGATCAGTAGGCTGGCTGAAGATTGCTCTTTTCTGTCTAAACACTAGGCTCTGGCCCTTCATGGCCATTTGTGAGCTTCAGTGGTACAGTGGTTAGAGTATAGTACTTCAGGCCACTTCTCCTGACTGCTGGCTACCTGCAATTTGGCAGTTCAAATCTCACCAGGTTCAAGGTTGACTCACCATTCCATCCTTCCGAGGTTGGTAAAATGAGGACCCAAATTGTTGGGGGCAATATGCTGACTCTCTAAACCACTTAGAGAAAGCTGTAAAGCACTGTAAAGCGGCATATAACTCCAAGTTCTATTGCTATTGCGCTGTGGGCTTCTGAAGACACCAGACATCTCCCTTTGCGGCTGTTTTATTTCTCTCTCGTGGTGCATGTGTCACGAGAGGAGATGCTAATCATATATAAGTCCAAATACAAATCTTCCTGGCAGGTAATATTGTGACATA